AGTTCGAAAATAAAACATTAAATTGAGTTTTCCAATACCGGTACTGAAAGAGATGGAATTTCACAACTGAGAAACAAAATAGAGTTGATCTGATTAGACTACGTCGAAATATAACATCTTTTGTGTTTGCAAAGAGTTAATCAATTTGTGTAATCACATTACTGTTCGTCCGGGTGCGTTTGTTCTGTTACATCAATAAAGGAAGACCGTTCTCATTTATTTCCCAGTGTTTGAGAACTGTAACATGTCGTTTGAAAACAAATCAGAGATCGTAGCTATGAAGTTACACCAAACCTTGCTGTATTCCATAGAGACAGTGTTGCTTTGTAAATGGCCTGGAAAATAATTGAGTAAAAAAAAGGATATAATGAGGAGGCACCCAGCATAAAAGTCAGGATATTTTGCTAGTTCTATTCGGGATCCGACTGGCAGACCCAACAGGAACAAAGATTACATGAATTCAGCACACATCTCGTCTTTCACAACATGAAAACTGGCGTCATTGAATCAGGGATATAACTATCTCCGCTCCTAACTTTTGAAAACATCCATATTATTATTGTATTTGAAGATTACGGTCCGATTTACAAGTTTCTGTTTTCGAGTATTTCTGTTGAGTAGAAGCTTCTGACATAAAGAACTTAGGTCATTAAAAACATTCAAATACCTCTGTACCCATTACACTACAGCATCACGGTTGAAATTAAAAAAGTCCTCATATTTTATAGTTTTGTATTCCATGAAGCAGAAGAGAAAACACAGCTTAACAATCTCTCCATTGGCAGACCATTATATTCTAAATAGCCACCTCAGCACCCCTCCCCCTCCTCCCTTGGCCGGTACAAAGCGTTAGAGCCCGAAAATAACGCCTTCCTCACGTACATAACGACTTGCCATATGCATGGAGTGACAAGTACAAAGTTCCCGGAGGGTGAAAGAAGGCTTGGTAAAAGTAAGAAACTGATATTGCTAAGTCTCTTTTTTACAAGTCACTTTTTCTATCTTGCGCAGCCTAGAAATCGAATTCATAAATGTTTAAAATGAAGCTGACGCCTTAGAAAACTGCTCCTACTGCAGCACCAAAAAGAAAAGTTGTTGTAGTTAGAAAGGCGGGTATGTCCTTGTACACGTCCCAAAACCAGAAACGAAAAGAGAAAGGTGGAGTCATCGATTTTATCATCAACATAATGAGTTGTACCAGAGCCATTTCAACAAAAGTACTGTAAAGTAGATGGAACCTTTTATCCCTAGGCCCGAGAGATTATGGTGTCGCACTCTCGATCCCAGGCACACGCGACAAAATGTGCATTAACGTCACCTTCCATATCCCAGGATATCATGTTATTGATGTCTTCAAGGACACAATGGCGGGGTTGAAACGAAAAATATTGCGCTCCGTTCGTGTGGGGGAGAGGGGCGGGGTAGAATGTAAATATGCATGTGAGCACGTGACTTCTCTCCCCGCCCAACCCCC